TATATATATATATATATATATATATATGATTTCTAATAATTTTATCTCTATTTTCAGACTATGTTAAAGTAAAAACATGCATGAATTAAAAAATTCTCATACTCTAAAATGGTATTAGAAGTATAAAATAAATATATAATCCCAAATAGTAAATTTATTTTATTTCAATTCAGCATCGCCTATTACATAAACTAACATTCATAGGAACGACACCGGAGAAGAAGTTCAAACATTTAACATGGAAAATTACATATGCAATCTTCTATAGCATTGCACATACCACTTGCTAAGTTTCCATGTTTCCTATGACAATCTGCATTACACTTGTTTTCTTGACAATCATTCTCGTATAATTTTTCTTCACAACTTCTTGCCTCTATGACTTTCACTGGCCCTTCATTTTCTATGCCGATACACATACAATGTTCAATACAATATCGTATGAAAGAAATAAGTTAATCTCAAATTCAGAAACTTGATGAAAAAAATGAATATAAATAAAACTCTAGAATCTTAAATTAATGAATAACTGAAATAAGTGAAAAGCAATGCATACCAATCCCAATAGAAAGAACAAGCAAAACGATCAAAACTGAAATGATAGTCTTCATCTTATTTTGATTTTAGAACAATGAACTCAAACCTTCAATACAGTTAAATGTTGATATGAAACTATATATATATATATATATAATTCATACAGTTTGAATGAATTTAATGTTATTTAAAGATTTTAATCTTATCTTACTTATAATAAAGTGGACAACTTCGCCATAAATTCTTCATGCAATAATTTTTCTTTTCTATATTATCTGTATACAATAATTTCTCTTCACAATACGATTTCTTCACTATATTTATCACACACAAAAAATTAATTATAGTAAATTAAAATTGTAGTACCCTTCAGATTATGACGTCTTAATGACTCCACACCATGATTATTTACATAATGATACTTTAAATATAACTTCTTATTGGTTAGAATCCTTCATGAATCGTTTGTAGGTAACCCTTTTTGGGATGTTTGTTCACCTTTAGGATCAATGACTGTCCCTACAAACCCACACAAAACTTTTTAATGTGTTTTGCTCTCACTCATGCTCATTTTAGGAAATTTTTCAAAAGGTCTTTCATCCCTAAACCACTTCAAGTCAAGCACACTTCATTATGGAGTTCTTAAATGAAGAGCTACCAAAAATTGAATGCATCTTGTTAGTATACGTAGTACAAATTAATTCTTTTTAAGTCAATCTTAATTGCACAATGTGACAGTGTACAAATCTATGCATTATTCTCATTTTGGTGTGTTCAGACAGTTATAAAAACTATAAAGGCATGATAAAACATTAATTATAATAATTATTAAATATTAATTATAAATAATAAATTTTTGTTAAAATAAAAATATTAATTATAAGATTTTAATTAGATTAATTATTAATTATTAATTATGGATAATCTTAAAAGGAAAAAACCTCTAAAGTATTATTTCCCTCTGAAATTTCTCACAAAAAATATAGATTATAAGAAACTGAAATTATAACGGCATAATAAAAATTAATTGTATTAATTATAGACGATTTTAAAATAAATACAACAAAAAATAAATTGAACTAATTTTTTTTAAAAGAAATCCGCATAACAAAAATTCACGTATAGGACACTGCAACAAAAGTTCCCGTAAAAAAAAAATTCTATGTAAATATCCCTCAAATTTTTATTATTCAAAATGCTATTTCTATAAAAATTTTAATATATAATAATTATAAATGGTGTTCTAACGAACAATAATCAATATAAAAAAAATATTTATCTTAATATCAATATTAAAATTATTAAATATTATTTAATATTAAAATTTAAAATTATTAAATATTTTAAAATTAATTAATATTTATTTTTTATATAATTTAATTTAAAAATCTCAACATATGAATATATTTTTAAAATCAATTTTATCATGGTGGAATCAAATTACTATATCCAAAATAAAAATTTAAAATTTTAAAAATTTGAAATTGACTTATCTAAACAAAATATTTTTAGAATGATAAAAATTAAAATTAAAGTAATTCAAATACCTAGAATTTTAAATTCCTTGAATTTGTAAAATCCCTCATCCAAACACACCATTAGGGATATGAGTTGGGATTATCCATAGTAGTGTGAGAGTAGGTATGTTAAGAATAACTAGTGATTTGTTGGTAGAGATTAAAGGTTAAAAGATTGCCCAGTTCTTGATGGAGATAGCGAGTGCAAGTGAGAGTGGCTTTAAGGCCAATAAACCAAAGGCTTTTAAGGGAGTCTTTACTCTAAGTGGTGTTGAAGCCTCATAATCTAATGACTTGATCCAAGATAGGTGTTTCATTAGTGGAGTTCCTTTAGTTGTCTTGTATGATTCTTGTGTGACTCATTCATTCATATCACATGCTTGTGTTTCTAAATTGAAATTGCATATGTTTGGCTTAAAATTCGAGCTTGTAGTGGAGACGCCAAATAGTGGGCCAGTTTCTACTTTTGATGTTTTCCTAAAATGCCTTTTACAAATTGTTGATGAATATTTTGAAGTTGACTTGATTTGTTTCCCCTTAGTCAATTACATATCATTCTAGGAAATGATCGATTATCTTTCATCCATATCCCACTAAACTATTCTAATAAAACTATTGTCTTTGGTTAGTTTGTCAAGAGTAAAAATAAGGACATTTTGGTTGCTGTCGCCACCGGCCCGAAACGGGCTTTCGGCATTCGAAGAAGTTCAAACATTTAACATGGAAAATTACATATGCAATCTTCTATAGCATTACATGTAACATCCCGAATTTTCTACTAGTATAATAGTTAATTATTGGTTAATTTTATATTTATGGAGGTTATTTTCTTGTAGATATTTTAATGGGTTTTATAGAATGTTTTAAAGGTTTTTAATATTTATGAGTATTTTAATAATAAATATTTATGAAAATTATTTTTGATAATATTTTGATTTTTTTTTAATAGCCTAGAACGGGCCGTTCCAAACTACTAAAATGGCCTTTAAACCATAGACTGGAACTGGCTGTTCCAACACATGATTTTATGAGTAATACGGGATTCCAGAACGGGTCGTTCCACTTTGGGAATGGGTCGTTCCACTTTGGGAATGGGTCGTTCCAAACATGGTTGTTGTAGGTAATATGTAATTTCAGAACGGGCCGTTCTAGTTTTGGAACAGGCCATTCTGGATGTGAAATTTATGTATGACACATGAGTCCAAAACAGGCCATTCCGGATTTGAAACGGGTCGTTCTAGCCACATCTGATGCCTATAAATAGAACGTTCTAGCACTCCAAAAATGAATTTTTTCACTTTTGACCTCTTTTCTTCTATACTCTCTGAAGACCAAGGGTAACTCAGAGGAAGAGATTAGCAAGGTCTTGTTTTGGTTTCAGCTCATGCTTATCGAGGTAAGGGGGAGTGAGAAACCTCGTTTTGGGTGTGGGAATATATGGTGGGAATATATGTTGGGTAGTGGGATTGGCCTCAATCCTATGTTTGTTGTATGCTCATGTATGAGGGGTTTTTCCCAATTATATATGTTTCTTCTATTGTTCTTCTTATATGTAAATAATTGTATGATTTGTGGGTTCTTGAGAGAACCCTATGAGAAACAAGAAAAATATGAATATTTTCTGTTTTACTTTCTGATTGCTCTATTGTATTCCTTTTTGAATGTATTGTGTAAATATGTGATTAATTTTGAGAATAAATATGTTTTGATATGATTTAGAGTGCTCTATGGGTTCTTGTGGAAAATCCTATGAGAAAAAGGCAAAATATGAATATTTTCTATTTTGATTTCTGATTGTTTTGTTATATTCCTTGTTTGATGAGATGTACAAATATGTATTTAATTTTACAAATAGACGAGTTTTAATATAAATTAAAGTGCTCTGTGGAGACTATGTGAATATGATGAGATAATATGATAATGTGATATGATGATATGATATGATGATGTAATGCAAAATGTGATTGAGACATGAGATATGAAAATATATGATGATGTGATATGATGATGAGACATGACGATGTGATATGAGAATGAGACATGATAATATGATATGAGAAGAGCATCGAGTCTTGATTGACATGCATCATGTGCATAAATGTTTTTAAGGGTATGATATGGAATACACCGCCAGAGAAGGCCCCTAGTGTAAAAGCTTTGGGGATTAGTCCTTGGGGATAGCTCGGTTTGTAAGTCCCAATCTTGTCCATTGTGTGCATGGGATGTATCTTGCGCGGCTTAGTTATCCCGATGACACTCTGGTAGTATGTCCTTCTAGTGAAAGTGCGTAGAGGGTGTGACCCGGCATGTACTCCTAGACTACTCTTCGTGTATTTCTAGCGACAATATGCCATGTGATATGTTACTGGCGCCACATGCATGATAAAATGTAGTCCGTGTCCATCCATGTGCATTTTAATGTTATATGATAAATTGATATTTTTATATCTTGAATGAGTGAGATGTGATATTAATATTAATTTATCTGTGTTATATATATTTTGTTTGTGTTTGGCTATCCGGTGTATATTCCTACACTGTGAGCCAGAGTAAGATGTTTCTCACTCCCTTTTCTTGTGTTGTTTTTCCTTAACTGCCTTACAGGTTATTACCAGCATGAGGCTGAAGATGTTGGTGATGAAGCTTAGGCTTCTATATTGGGATTTGCTCTGGTAGGACATGTGACATCGGGCATAGATAGGATTAGATTAAGATGTTTTTATTAAATTATTTTGGAAACTTTAGTTTTATTTCTTTGTAATTTCCACTGATTTTGTTGTTATGGATGTGGTATTCTCTATTTGAACACGTTTGATATTTTAATTATGAAATGTTATGTTATTCAAATTTTATTATTTGTATGCGGGGTAGAGGGTGTCACATTAAGTGGTATCAGAGCAGGTCGATCCAATCGGCCGTGAGTTATGTACTTATCATGATTCTTTTGTGTACTCTGATAATGTTTTGTTTGTTGTGTACTTTGATGATACTTTGCTTTGATAATGATGATGATGATGTTCTCCTTGTGTTGATATTGTTGAGTTTTATATTGTAATTAGAGGAATGATAGATAGTGTTAGCTAATATCATTATGACTACTCTTCTTCATTCTTATGAGTGCTTGATTGTTTGATACTTCTTGCTTACGTAAGAATTAGTGGATGAATGATATCGCTTGTGTTGCAAGCATATGTGCGAGTATTGGTAAATGAGATATCGTGCTAATCAACTAAAAACTATTGGAACCTTGGATGTGGGTGAGAAATTGATTTGTCGAGTGTATTGTGAGTTTATGGTTGATGGAGTTTCTAGAATCTATAGTTGTAGTGATTGAATCCAAGGAGGTTGTATCTTGAGAATTGGAGTTTTGGTATTCTTAATGAGAGGTTGAAATGTCGGTGATTTCCTTGAGTTTTGGTGCTTAGATGTTAACCTTTTATGGTTTAGGTAGCATGTGAGTTTGATTTTCTAAGTCTGTTGTGCTAAATATGTGAGTTGTTTTGGTTTAGGATTGTAGTGGGAAGCTTGAATATGAATTTGAGGTGTGAGTTTGGAAGGATTGAGGTATTTTTGTGGCCTTAGATATATTGATA